TTAAACAAATCTACCGAGGACGTTTGCCCTGTCTATTATCAGCGCGATCAGCCGTCCGTGAGCCGCGCTGTAGCTGCAGTAAGAGGCGAGCGCGGCAGAGACGAGCAGATGGTGAGAGACTATTTTAGTCTGCTTAAACCCCGCAAGCTCGCTTCACATTCTGTTGTGCTTTGGTGCTCACATGGGTGACGCAGGTTCGAATCCGGCTTGCAACCAGTCAGGATCCAATTCCCCTGCTCTCTCCATGATCTCTGTCGAATAAACAAGGCAAGATGTAGTCAAAACATTAAACAAATCTACCGAGGACGTTTGCCCTGTCTATTATCAGCGCGATCAGCCGTCCGTGAGCCGCGCTGTAGCTGCAGTAAGAGGCGAGCGCGGCAGAGACGAGCAGATGGTGAGAGACTATCATAGCAGTTGAAGGTTTATTCACAGGTGTGTTTGAGGAGTCAGTGCGCGTGTGAGGGGAAACTAAGAGAGCTAGAGAGATGGGGGGTACTGCTGTTGTAATAATGTTGGAGTGGGTGTATAATGTGGGTATACAAGCTGTTAATCTCTCCTGTGTAGCTGTGTTTAAATGTGTTTATGCTTCATTAAGCATGCATTACCTGCTTCATTACTGCTGTGTTGCAGCCACAGCCAGCGAGTCTCACGCTCCGAGTGTGGGAGTGTGGAAGTTCATCGCTCTCACAGACTGACCCGGCCCTGACAGGACGCTTGCTCCTCTGAGGTATTTGCTCTTTTTTGAAGCAACTTGCTTTAGTTTCATTTGTGCAGTGTGGAAGGGCGATATGGGAATGGGTAATTAATGACAGACTTTTCATTTTTGAGTGAACCGGCGAGTTGCAGCTGGGTCATTCTATGGTAATGTCCATTTTTCTGTCAGAAATATTACACTTGAAAAACACTTTAGGGTTACAATTTTTTTATATATATATATATATATATATTTAAAAATAAAACCATGTGTTATTTGAACAATTACACCTTCTTGAGCCATCAATGTGGCAATATTTGTTTTTAATGAATTATAAAGAATTCCAAGCACCGCAAAACTGCTCATCCCCACAGCCATGTACAGAGGGAAAGTGCTTTATTTTGAGGTCAAAAACAGGGTTTTCTACCATTTAAAATACAAAAATGTATTCATAACTATCAAATATATTTGAAATAAAAATCACGCTGATGACATCACTTGATTTCCTTCTTCCTATTTCCTGAAGATCTATGAAGAAAGGCCCGTGTGAAGTCTACTGTCTCTTTTCAGTTATCAGAAATTTTCTCATTTATCTCACGATTTCATATGAAGTTTTTTGTGGAAGTCACTGGTATGACCTACTTTATTGTCAGGGAATTGTAAAAAACTAGAATACAAATGGATTAAACATACCATGATTGACAACATGTGGTTAGATACCTTGCAGCAGCCATTTTGTAATGAAAATTGTCACTGGTGTTACCTTCCTTATGGGTAACACCAGTGAAGATCAGTTTATGTTTATGTTCTTTTACTAACTGCTTTCACTAAATGCCAAATGTAACAATTTAGTCTCATCTAATAATTATAGTTGAAGAATAAGGATCTTTGCTCTTATGTGTGTCACTGGTGATTCATTGCGGCATTGTTTTTTTTCCCTGTTACATTAAATAAAATTTGTTACATGTGACATGATAATAATTTTACATCCATTGAATTCTGCTTTACTCAAGAGTTAAGATTTAAAGGATTGCATCATTGTTTATTTATTTATTTTTCAAATATTTTCATTGTTATAGCAAATACATGGTTGCGCAAATGAACTAACATCATTCAATCACACTTTTAACAAACCTGATTAAAATAAATAAAACAATCTCCTTATTTGTCGCATTATCATTATGTTTCTGTGACTCTCTGACTACATGTGCTGAAAAAAATCAAGAAATAATATTTCATAAAAACCTTTAAAATTGGCAAAGAAGTAAGGTAACACCAGTGACAAAAAATGGTACATGTGGTCTTTAAATAAATGCACCAAAAAGATTTTAAAAAATCATTAAACTGCCATTTATGTGTATTCATAAAGTCAAAAGGTAATCTAATAATGTGGTCTAAGTTTAAATGTTAAAAAAGACATGCATTTGAAGACATCTTGCCATATAAAAGTGGACGTTTCTATAGAATGACCCGGCTAAAAGAGGCTTCATTAGGTTCATTAGGCCAGATGATGGTAAAGTCGTAAAAAATTATGACCATAAACATGTGTAAATACACATACATGTACATCGATATCCCCTCCAAAAAAAAAATTTCAAAACACATTTGTTTTAAACTTCACCTTAAAGTTGCACAAGATAAAAATTCACCCTTTCTATTTTGTAAATGCAATGTATAGATCTTATTGTGAATGATTCATCCATATATAAGTTTCATTTTTTAAGGCGAGACACTATAGAAAAATCAGTGTTTTTTCAGGTACTGGTCCCAGAATTTTAAGATTTTGGGCTATTTTGAAAAGAAAACATCCAAAATAAACATTTGAGGGTTTATGTTATGCGTATTACATGTTATCCATTTGCATGTGTAGATTTTAATTATAATACATATCTTTAAAAGTAATTTTCTTAAAATGAGTTTATTTCTCCTGCACTGAGCCAGAAATCTCAACTTCAGCAGCACTTACACCAAAATGTACAGTTTATTTTTATCTATATTCTGAAGTTCTTTTCTTTTTCTTTCTATTTTTTTTTTATAGAAGGGATTGTTCATATAACATTCACTTGATTTGTATTTTTTCCCCTTTTTTTGCCCTTGCTGATAACAGTATTTTTGATTTATAGAGTGATAATCCTATCTAAAAACCAATATGTCAATAAAATGAAAGAAGAATGTTGAGCCTGGCTTTACCCAATGTTCACATTTTTGTTCTTAAACATTTTAAACTTGTCATGCAAAACAGTTGTCTGAATGTACAGTTATTAATTAACTGGGGAGAGTTTGGTGATGTTTCAATTTTTAACCTATTCACCCGTTTTGTCCATGTAATGGAGAAAACAATAATCTTCTCTCTGGTGACGTAGGCCAGACTTCTCCAATTATTTAGGTTCTTAAACCCCGCCCCTCCACAACTGACTCTAAGCTCACGTTCATTTTTGAATGCAATGCCCACATCTCAAATCCAATCAACAACCGACAGACAGACCCAATTCTCTGCCTTACATGTTTCTTTTTCTGTTTCACTCAGATGTACAATATGTAAAATATCACAATATGTAAAAAAAAAAAAAAAAAAAAAACTGTCCTTGCTTTCACAGCAGCTTTATGGTAAAAATGTAACCATTTAATTAATAAATAAACAAATAAATACAAGTTGTGCCTGTTTTGACATACAAATTAATTTATATGTGTTTATAAGTTACTTTTTCTATGGACTATTTAGGCAGTATAATAATCTGTTCTCTTTCATTTAGCTATATCTGACCAATCAAAAATGTTTTTAGAATTAGCACAGAGTTTTTACGGCGTTAAGCACAGTGTTATGTGATCATTGTTGTTATGTATATATGATTATTAGGCTTACTTGCATCGTTTACGGGATGTTAATTGTGAGGAAAATATGTTTTTGTTTAATTTAATTAAAGCTTGAAAAAAAATATGGTTATATCCAACATGAGTAACAGAGATTAGACTAGGCCTAACTTTGCAGTAAAGATGTGAACATGTGAATTGTTTTTTTTTTAGGTTTTAATCGGTTAAATTATAATTTACAGGTGACAATATTTTAATTCTAATGAATATCAGTTGTATCATTATCTCTTCTGAGAATATGTTCTTAATTTTTTTTTCTTTTTTCAAAATTTGGCAGCAACATTATTACTGTTAAAAGTGGACTAAGTACTCTGGAACAATCAGCTAAATGCAACTGTGTTTTTGCATTTAACGGAATTAATTCATTAAAATATTAAGTATGTATAACAGGTTTTGTGCATCTCCAGAGCCAAATGTTTTGAGATTGCAAATATGTTTTTAGATCAATTGATTGATTGATAAAGTAATAAATGTCATTTAAGATTTAAAGCAAAGGAAAACCTACTAAGAGTCTGGTGGTACAGACGCAAATGATGGAAGAATGATCGAGGGCACAGCGCTCTCTACACCTCCAGACAAATTGCGACACCTTGTGGTCACTGACTAAAAGCCATGACCTTCCCATAGAAAACAATAGACTGCAAATTGTATTAAAGGGGTCATATGATGCGATTTCAAGTTTTTCTTTCTCTTTGGAGTGTTACAAGCTGATTGTGCATAGATAAGATCCCTGAAGTTGCAAAGACTAAAGTCTCAAAACCAAAGAGATATTCTTTATCAAAGTTAAGACTCTGCCACGCCCCCCTAAAACGGCTCGTTCTAACACACCCCCACATATCTACCTCACTATGTGGAAATATTTGCATAATGCGCCCAAATGTGCACGCAAAGAAAGAAGGCGTGGTTTCAGTAACCGCAGTTAGTGTTGACGCAGCCATGTCAGGGAGACGCAGTTTGGATAGTTGCAACTTATTGAGAAACTGCAGAAGTACATTATTTGTTCTTCGAGGACATAAATACTGATTTTGCATGTATCAATCAAACAGTATATAAATAGGAAAAATAAACGTTCACGTAAAATTATTTAATCATTTAAATTCATACTGAAGCTATTTATGCAGTGAACGTGAATATAACTAATGTAAATTAAGGTATTGAAAAATCACATGATATCTGACCTTTTATACACATTTTGTCACATGATGACAGGCAGCAGGAATTGGGAAGGTCTGTGGGGTTTACTTTATTATTCCTGCCATCATTTATGAACGGACAAAAAAAAATCGAATTATTTATGTCTATTCACTTAAATCGTACGAGCTGAATTATTTAATTGTACACAAAATACTAGCGATTAATTTAAATTTACTTTTTGATTTAGTAAAAATGGTAGGACTTTTATTTTGAATGTATGCTAAAGGAAATACGTAAGCGAAGGTCGTTGAAAAAAACTAACTGCTGTATGATGATGATGATGATGATGGTGAGTGCGACGCACAGTTGACCGACCACCCGGTCACGTTACCGACCTGTTATATCACAGAGGATATCACCTCTTCATTTCATCTCAAGATTCACACCAGCTGGGATAGAAACGTAAAGGCTCCTCGCTATAAAGCTGCTATTTCCTGTGTAAACGGGCACATGAGATAAGAGAGAAGAGTCTAGAATCAGCAGGTCACTGTCCGCTCCAGCGCTGGATCTCTGGGTCACGGTAAACACGGTAAACGCGTCGACATGAGGAGTTTACCGTGTTTCTGCCGGGGACAGGTGGTCCGCGGATTCGGTCGGGGAAGCAAAGACCTGGGCATCCCAACAGGTGAGACTAACTAGAAGAGAAGAAGTTGATCCAAAGAGACCAATTCTGAGAACTTTTAACGTTACTGAAACTTGTGTTGTTTAAATCTGCCTGACTTCCTTCTGTGGGAGAGAAATATGAAGTGTTAGGCGACATGACAATGTGTCGGTAACCACTCACTTTTGTTGAATAAAAGGACAATTAAATTATACTGTGACTGAGATGCATTCTGATTAACCTTATGTGTAAATGACTATATGAGTTAATGATTTATGGGTGAACTAATCATTAAAGTATTAAAAACAGGTTGTTAATTATTTGACTCTCTTTACACTAAAGTGATAAATTCATTTTGATGTCATACGAGGAAAGTGTAATGAAGTTTTAATCTTGCTTAAAATTAAACCGCTTCAATTTAATATTCAGTTAAACATAACACTCTTGTAATGAATGTTATCTTTAAACTAAAGCTCTGGCTAAATTAATGTATATCTTCTCTTATAGGTCTTACTACAGGCTTCTGTAAACTGTTTTATTCTGATTGGCCAGACACGACACTCAGTGCAACAGTGCCCGCCCATTTTTCAGTGGCCTTGGTTCCCCATTCATTTTTCCCATAGAGATTTTATAAAAGTCTTAAAGAGTTAGTAGTAAACTATCCTAACCTGCTACGAGGTGAATCATAACATTACAAACTTCGATTTGAAGCAAAAGGTACTTGAAAATTTGACAAAATGACCAAAGTACAAAACTCTGTACTTAACCGCTTTAATTTAGCATTGTAAATGACACTTTTTAAAAAATGATTTAAAGTTGTAAATTTTAAAGAGATGGAGATAAACAATATTCTAATCGTTCTATTTATGACGTACTGACACAAATTCAGTCCAGTGTAGGTCTGTAAAAAAAAAAATTCTAATTTTGAATATTCGTCGAATTTAAAATAAAAATCCACATTCGAATGCAAAAACGTTGCATTCGAATTTTAGGTGTGCGTCAGGCAGCCTTATCAGTTGCGCACGAGATGCGATGACGATGTAAGTGTCATTGCATTTGAATGTTTTTGTTCGCCTATCCAGTTGAAGCCACTGCATCTGCGTTGTTCATTAAAAATATTGTGGAAAAAGAGAACAATCAATGCGGAGAAGATCTTGTTTACGTCAAAACTGAAACCAAGCCAAACGCATATTTCGCACATTTTCTAGAGGGACCAGTGTAGACAGACTTTAGCTGTTGCGGCGCGCGTCCAGTGTAGATACCGTGTTATTCTCTGATTGGTGGATTTCTCTTCAGAATTATGGGTAATGTAGTTTTTCCACAAGAAATTTAGCTGTTAAACTTTTTTTTTTTTTTTTTTTTATAAGTTGAAATAATGCAGTTGATGGCTTCAACAAAAAATATACCACTGATTAACAACCTAATAGTCTGTCTTGAACAGTATAAGTTATTGTTCAAAATCAGTTCCCCTATGGAGAAAATGAATGGAATATTTACTTCTGGAACCCAACTGCTGTACTCTATTATTACCACATTGGATATTTCACCGCAGCCCATGGCAACACTACTTTTGTGTCTCTCGTAACATGTTTTATATTGATTCTAGTGATGCCTGAATCGTTCTGCTGATACTGGCATTCGTGAACCATTTTCACAAATTCACATTTTTGTATATGTTCAAGAACTTGCACTTTAAAACCTTTAAAAAGTTTTCAAAATGCATAACGCTTTCTGTTTTTACTTGAAAAGAATGTTGTGTGAAAGCCCCCTCATAATCTAGAAAATTAAAAAAACATTTATTTCATGTGCACGTATTTTTATTTGGTAAGTAGCAAAGTATTCTCTGATAATAAATGGCTGTATATTATATCCCTTACTTTAAGTTTTTGTACATCTGTAGCTCTGAAGATATCATGTCTCAAATGTAAACGCACACATATTCTGATAAAAGAAAGTAACATGAAGCCAGTATTTAGTCTTACTAGATCTAATGTTTTCTTTCCATTCCCATCTCAGCGAACTTCCCAGAGTCGGTTGTGGACAATCTCCCCGCTGACATTAGCACAGGAATCTATTACGGATGGGCACGCATGGATAACGGAGACATTCACAAGATGGTGATGAGCATCGGCTGGAACCCTTACTACAAAAACACTAAGAAATCCATGGTGCGTCCATATCTATATTTCTAGTGTGCAGACATCTAAAAGCTATAGAGCTGATATCGTTGCATTCATCAAATGGTCTTATTTAATAGTGGTATAGTTGATTTGTATGACTCGTGTCTGATATCAAATATCACATTTATCTTTCTGTGTAACAGGAAACGCATGTGATCCACACTTTTAAGGAAGATTTCTACGGTCAGATATTGAGTGTGGCCATGGTCGGCTACATTCGCCCTGAGAGAGGATTCAAATCACTTGGTAAGACATTGAGCTGAACTTACTCCCACATCACATGATCTCACTGACGCCACAACACCCAGTTCACCCACACAAACACACTCATTCTGTTACAGTAACTCACGGTTGTGTCTTCCTCCCAGACGAGTTGATAGCAGCAATTCATAGTGACATTGAGGAGGCGAAGATAAAGCTGGACCTGCCTGAGCACTTAAAACTGAAAGAGCAACATTTCTTCAAGACGCCAGTATCGACAACAGCCAATCAGATCTTGAACGGTCATCGACTGTAACATTCACTTTCACCATCACCTATTTAAAGCCTGTTTATTACATATGCAGTTTGTTGTTTTCTTTATGTTAAAAAGATTTCTGTCCCCATGTGGTGCTTTGGTCAAGTGCAGGCACTATATGTATTTGTTCATACGGTATCATCACGTAGCCCTTTTGTTTCTATATTTATCGCAAAAAGGAGGATTCAGGTTACTTACTGGTGAATGATCACTGCAGTTCACAGGGTAAACTACACGGAGCCCTTCCCAGAATTCAGTGATTGCCACGGATGATACTATGTGAGAGTCAGGGAGTGTCAAAATCTCTTCTTTCTGGTAAAATTTAGATGGAGAGTTATTCCTCCATCTTCACTTTAATTTCATTTTTGTTTAAGGAAGACTCTCTTTACATGAATAAAACGCTTTAACAATAGTCATACTTGGCGTTCCTCCTCTTTGAGATGAAATGAATGCTTTTTATGGTTCTCGGAGAACCGTGCCCAGAGGTGGAAGTCCAAGGCTGATATAAAGAGAGTTAAAGCCCAGGTTGTTTGTAATATGAGTGCAAAACTGGGCAGACAGAGAACAAACAGTGACTGAAGACAAAATTAATTTAAATGGTCTTTTAAATATGTACAGAAGCTCTGCATAGCAAACACTTGCTACTGTGTACACATGTATTACTAAACCTTAACCTAAAATAAAAAATGTTCCCCCTTTCTTTTACTCTGAAACATTTAGTAGAGTTTTACATTTGTAAAGACACTCAAGAGTCAGGATAGATCATGTAGGTTTATAAATGATCTTCTGATTTACCTTATTTGTTCATGTTGTGTTCTTGTTGAACTGATGCTTGAAACACGTGCTGCTGGTTTAGTGTTAAACTGCAGCAATCCTCTGTACAGGTGCGGTCACGTTATTAGCGAAATTTCAAGGGCAAAAGAAATGTTAATTAATTATCAGTAGTGTAGGGATGTATGTTTACACAGAAATCGGTTTCAAACCAAATTTGCGCCACTTTCTGTTGGTCAGAGCGGCGAATGTGTGTGTGGGAAATGGTTCGCCCTCACGCGAAACTCCCGATCACGTGGACTTGGATTTCGCCCGCGAAAATTCGCTGAAGAACGGGAAATGTGATCGCACCTTAATGTAGGAATTAATAGTAAAACGTTACTCTTTAAAACCTGTTTGTTAATGCTGTTATCTTCACAATCTATATTCGTCAGACTGGGCCTTTTATTGTTGGACCGCTGCTTCTGTATATGTTTGGTACTGTTTGCATATGTTTTCTGTTTCTTTTTGTAGGTCAGGGCAGTGCCTTAAGTATGTGAAATCAGACATATTAATATACAGTGCACAACCAAGCATTCCTTTAATGTTGACACCTGCTTGTAAGCATTAAACAAAAATGCCTTGTGCTTTACTGTTGTCTTTTTTTGTGTGTGTGAAAATGCTTTTATGATGTCATAAATAATTGAGAAGGGAAATGAGAACTGGAAATAAATCTTATCTAGTTCTGAATCAGTGGTAATAAATGCTCTGTTCATTATAAATAATCTTGTCGGCCGTTGGTCATCTGGTGGCTTTACTTTAAAGCTGCAGTCCGTAACTTTTTTTGGTTAAAGGGGTCATATGACGTTGCTAAAAATAACATTATTTTGTGTATTTGGTGTAATGAAATGTGTTTATGCGGTTTAAGGTTCAAAAAACAAATTTTTCACATACTGTACATTATCGTTTCTCCTCTATGTCCCGCCTTTCTGAAACGCGTCGATTTTTACAAAGCTCATCGGTCTGAAAAAGCGAGGTGTGCTCTGATTGGCCAGCTATCCAGCGCGTTGTGATTGGCCGAATTCCTCAAGCGTGTGACGGAAATGTTACGTCCCTTACCATATTGTGATGCCTGCGGCAACCACAT